GACAGTCGAAGCACTCCCTAACATACAGACAATTAATAGGTGCACATATGTATCTCAAGACTCCCTACCTTTCAATACTCATGTGCATGTATCAAAAAGTAGGATGTCAAAAAGTAGGTTGGTATTGGAAATACTTTTCATTGGCATATAATGGCTTTATGTTATGCTAATCTGTTTCTGTGTATCTGCTAAATAAATTCACTTCGAGGGAGGGAGTAAAGCTTAAGTTTTCAACAAAATGCAACACTCAAATACTAAGCCAGATGCCCAGATTTTGAAAAAGGACTTGACATGTAACATGGTTGTGAAATCTTGGTGACTTTTACTGTGTCTTAGAAAAACATATCCTGATTTAAGTGCATACATGGAAACAACTGCTTTGAAGATCTAACCCACAAGTGAGTCTTTCTACGTTTTATTGGCATAAACTATAAAACTGTTGCCTCAACATTTGTTGATCACTTCATATTTTCAGTTTAGGTAAACATCAGAAATATAAATATCGGCCTAGTCCTGACAGCAGCTGTCAATAGCAAGGAAATGCCTGTTTGGGGAGGCAGTGAGTTGCAAAATGATTTGCTTCTGTTTCTTCTAAAGGTGGAAAAGTACTTTTAAAATGTACTTCGTCTGTTCTTTAACTGCATGATTTGTTAAGTTATTTTATAAGCAACAAGATTAAAAAGTGACCCCCACCAAAATACTTCATAAGGCACATTTTAAACTCAGACACATCACTGCTATGGAAAGAAGTAAAATAGTCCCTCTAGTGTACTGCTGCTGATGCTGTAAGTATGCATAGGAATATCTGACGTGATTTACCGAGGAGTATGGCTGCAGGAAATTACAAAACAACGTTTCAGCAAGGGATGTGAAAGTGCTTACATAAACTGGAAAGTCTGACCTACAACAGTAAGTCAAGTGAAACAATAATAAATACCAAGCCCAAAAAAAGATGCTGTTCAAGTAATTCATGAAGTAAAAAGTTAATGTGTAGTGCGAGACTTGCTAAGTTAATGTGTAGTGCGAGCTCTTGCCAGCTGTGCCCAAATCATGAATGAGGAGCAGAGCCACTCGCCGGTGCACACGCTGCGGTGCACTTCCTCTTTCAGGGCTGTTGCAGGGCCGTAGATTTGAATTTCATGTAATATTTTGCATAAACTGGCTATATACTGAAAAACAAACGTGGATGTTCACATCTTCTTGAAGCGAGTGTGGCTTTGGCGTGACTTCTAAAGAGTGGCTTATCCCCTGTCTGAAGGCATTAGTCAGTGCAAAGGACCTATATTGAGGCGGGTGCAGATGGGGCTTCCTTTTATGCCTGAAAGTCTCTTGCTAACATCTCCCAATTTCAGGTTGGCTGCAGGAGAGTCATAGAGTTATTGAGCTTTCCAGCATGAAGGGATGTAGTCGTTGCAGGATGTTTTGGAATAGAAACGTTTCTTTTTTCGTGTGCCGTAGCTAGCCAGAACATAAATACGAATCTTTACTCAGTATCTAGTTTTCACTGCCTGTTCCTGGTAATAGCGTGTGTGCAAAGGCCCTGCAGCCTTTTGTACAGTTGTTTGTTGCAGAGCAGTGCCAGCCATGGAAGCCCTGTTGTTCTGGACTTTGTACAAGCAAGGAGTGCTACTTTTGCACTTAAGCTAAGATCCAGTTTAGCCTCATTCAAAGGTACAGGAGCATCTGTCTGAGTCCTTGCTGTGGCAGAGAACTGGGCAATCATTTAGGGTTAAATGGGTAAACCAGATTAAAGCTCCGCTGAAAGAGCAAGACAAAAAAAGCACATGAAAAGCATTAAATTGGATGTCATGGACCTTCATGTGTTATGGTACACTGTAATTTTGGAGTTCAGAATTACACTATATTACAGCTTCCCTCACGTCAACTGTATAAGGCTTCAAACTAGAACTGTTCTGAAAAACACCCGAGTCTTTCTTTGCCAGTTTGTTGAAAATCAGACATTTTGCTTGGTTTAGTTTGATTGCTTTGATGAATGTCTATTGAAACTCTGTTTTTCTGACGACTCAGCCCATACATAACTGCAGCCTTCCCCGTGGACCTAGAAACTCGGGAACTCTTAAGAATTCCTGCAGTGGCTCAGAACCAAAGAACTGAAATTTCATGTGGAAGGAGAATCTTTCTTTGCTCCACTTCATGTTGGAGCAAATACATCTACATGTATGTGACGTTGAAATAGTGTGTTAACCAGAAATGGTAGTTTCACGTATGATTACTTGTGTAAGTATTCCTGACATTGTCTCAGAATTCTTTAAGGAAACCACAGCAGCAAGAACAAGACCCCTCAGTAGAAACCATTCTGTTTCTTGACAGAGTGCTGTTTTAAGCTGCGCTTTAAAAGGAGTGGTTAATGGGCAAGCATTACCTTTTATTTTGTGGAAGTTATGTCTGTTTTCAGTTAACATATTTTAATCTTAAATGCACACTGGGTTGGGTAATGGTCTTCAGTTCTTAATTGTTTTGTTCTGAAATAGAAGAATAGCGATCTCTGCCCATGACTTCCCCTTTTGTGATGCCAGTGTGGCCATGCTTTATCACGTACTTCTGGAGAACGCAGGGTGTCTCTGATGAGATACTGACAGCTGTTGTGATGATTATCATTTTCTTCTTAGCAGATTATCCAGTGTTCAGTTTTTGACAGAAATCTGCCCGTTGGCTTCCTAGCGTGTTAGTTTGCTCTTCCTGCAGTGCCAGACCTTCTCCGTTCTAAGAGCAGTAAAAGTTAATAGTAGTCTTCTGTTTTCTCTAGTCATATAGTTCCTTCTCTCTCCTTTTTTGGGTGTGCATGTTTCTTTGATAGCTGTAAAATGAAATTTGGTGGTGCATTTTGGAATAACATTTGCTAGTTATCTTTGTAAAATTAATAATTTTTTTTTGTACAGATCTTTTTTGTGTTATCTTGAAGCAACCATAGTTAGCTGTGAAGAGCAAGTCATACTTCTACTGGGTTTGATTATGCTAGATAAGTGAGAATCCCTCTAAGGAAAAAGGTTTGCGTGGGTGGAGTAGTTTGCAAAAGATTTTCTGTGTGCTGGGAAATAACACGTTGAAACAGGAAAGGGATATTTAGCTCACCAGACTTGCCCCCCTCTGTTTCGATAATCATTGAACCTCTTTTCCTGTGATTTTTGACAATCGGTGTTCACCCATCTGTCAGGACAGATCATTTTGCCAGCTATTGAATTTTCTGTTAACTTCCCACAATGTCTTGTCTCATGTGGCTTAGCAGTCCTTGCAGTCCTGCACTGGGATTCTTGCAGGTGTGCAGAGGCAGGTTCTTGTCTGTACAGAAACCAGAACTCCCCTGCAACATAAAGACTTTTTAAAGGAGTCTTTTTTTCCTTTTTGACCTTTTGACTAATGTGTAATAATTTTTAATTAACTTTATGGTTTATTCAATCAAATTTTATTCACAATTTCCAAAACTTATTCTGGGCTGCATTGCAGTTCTTCTGTTCATAGGGGAATTAATGTGCCTGCCCCTTTGGTTATGTTCTTAGCATATTTATTTGTTTTTATTATTCTTTGACTTTTCTGTAAGGCACAACCAGATTTCCTGTGACATTAATTTTCACAGCAGCTTAAATGAACACCAAATGTTCCTTTCACAGGAGTAGTATAACTTAATTCATTCTGAATTTTGCTCATTTGCATATGGGACCTGATTCACTTTGGAGGCTTTGTAACTTCAGTTTAAGCTCTGCAGTTAGTGATTATTCTCTGTGGTTTTTACTTTGTCGTTCTCCTGTGTAAATATGTCATTGTCTTTCCTTTGAGAGATGTACTTTTAAGTCTGTGTTTTATGGTCAGGTTAGTCTTGTAATTAAAACTACAAAAATAAACTATTTTAATTGTAGAGATTATTCCCAAATGCTCATGGAACGTAGAATTGCTAAACTGAATTTTGATACTACCAATAAAAACCTTCTTTAGAAATTTCACTTCAGCTTAATATGGATTTTAATTTGCAAAGACCCAACCTGAAACTTCTGGGAAGTTCAGGGGAACCTTGTAATTGGAAGTATGGAAATTCAGACAGGGTGTCATTTTGGTTCTTTTTCTCCCTCTAGCAAATAAGGCTTGCCAATCTGATAGTACTCAAAAGAAGAGAAAATATTTGTGACAGAGAGGACATGCTAAGCAGAGTACAAGTTTGTCTTGCATTATTACAGCTGACAGCAAAATAACTCCACGTATGTGACCATATGTACATGTATTCCCTATTGTTGTCCCTCTCTTATTGTATCACCTTGAGTGCTTACAGGAGGTATTTGCTTAGAATGAGATCTTCCAGACTGCTGCCATCTTCTAAAAATAAACAAAGCTTATGGGCTCAAATTTGCAGCTTCTTTAACTGTTTGGCTAATAAAAGATTACCTTTCCTTTGCAAGCCAGTCCTGAAAAGGTGGCTTTCTGCTGGCATTTCTTTTGCATTTGGCTCCCTCTTCTGGCCAGTGTTTGGAAAAGCTCAAATTAATACCTCCGGATTTTCTTTCTGGAGTTACAATTAAAAAAAAAAAAAAAAAAAAATCAGTGCAGTCTGTAAGATAAAATTTGATTACAATTGCATCCAGGTCCAATTGCAAATTGAATGTCTAATTTGTGACATATATGACATGGTTTTAAATCCATTTAAATTGGCTTTTACTTGTGCTAGAACTTGTAAATAAGAGATTTCCCTTTTCCTCTCTTTGTGCTCCCATCACATCCCCGTATAAAAGCACTGAAGACCAGCTCATGGGAAATCCGTGGAAGTTCAGTGCACTCAGTGTTTGGCATAGCCAGATCCTGTGTCTGTTTTATGTCATTCAATGTGAAATTGTGTTGCTGATAATTAAACAATAGAGAACAAAATGTTTTATTGCTTCTGTTCTACAACCAATAATGGTTTCTGTTTCCTTCTCCAGGTGATAGAAACTCTTTCAAAACTTTCTCGCACTCCTATTGCAATAGGCACAGGAATAAGGTATGTTACTGCTGTAGTGAATGGTGGGAATAACGCCTCTTGTATGATGCTCCTTGGAAAAGTTGTTAGAGGCAGTATAGGCAGTGTCCCCCAGCAGGAACTTCTCCGGTTGTAAACCAAATTGTCCAGTGGACAGCTAACCAAGGCTCTGGACCTCTGAGGAGCTCCGAAGGGTATCTTCTACTGCTGGTACACTTACTGAAGTGCCTGAACTACAATTACTTCTCGTGCTGAAACACGAGGTGAACAAATGAGCAGTTAGTATTACAGAACTTGTGTGATAATTGTGACACATGGATTGTAAGTCAAGCTGGTGCAGTGCTCATCTATGTAAAGACAAATGGGTTTTCTGTTCTTCTAAAAATCAGCAAAACTACCAAGTTCGCGAGATGCTCATTTTCAAAAAGAAACCAAAAAACTCCAACCAAACCTAACCCCATGAACTGTAATTGTGGGCTGTGAGAGAAGGTGAAAGACTTCATGCTTTGGTGTTCTCCATCTTTTTGAATGGTTTGATTCAACAATCTTATCATATATGAATGGATGATGTTTTTAAATCATAGACAAAATTCCCCAGCCAGTCCTGTAATCCATGTCCTGTGCTAAAAACAGTAGTTAATATTCTCAGTTGAAAAACTGGCAATGATGTGTATTAGTGGTGATTTATAACAACCCCATCCAGTAGGGTTTCTTATTATATTAAGTATCAATTCATATTTAGAAGCCTAAATACATGTATACGGTTCATCAGAGAAAGAGGGGAACATACAAACCCATTAACATATAGTAATCTGTGTGAAAATTTTAGAAACCAAAGAAAAACCCACTATGTGACTAGACTAGTGCTGTCTATGATTCATGCTATTTTTCTTTTTTCTACAGAAGAAAGCGTGGATGATGATGATGTCTACAAAGGTCTTCCTGATTTAATAGAGTATGTTGTAAATCTTTAGTTAAATTAAAGATTTTGGCTTTCAGTCGCATGCTATTATTTATATGATGTTATAGAACACATAGTTTTAATGAGAATGGGATATTTATTTGATACTTAAAAAGACTTTGTTAGCCATTATGCTGACCAGGAAGAATTAATTATGGAAGTTTATCTGAATGATTGTAATGCATTTATATATGTAAAGAAGCATATTCCACAGAGAGCGCTGCTAGCAAAATAAATCATGAATGCTTTTTAAAATTTTCTGTCTGTACTATGAGAATGCTTTCATAGAATGACTGTATCAGTTGTAAGGGACCCAAGGAAATTGTCTTGAACTTGCAAAGAAAATGCATGTTTGGGTCATAATTCAAGTGGGTTGTTTCCCTAAAGTCAATGAAATTCTTCGTATGAGTGCATTTACCTCTCTGAGTAAGTGTTTGCAGGATTGTTAATTTTTGCCAATTTTCACATTAGCTTTGAGGTACAAGAAAGATAGACATGAACATACTGTATAGTATTGAATGATAGACTGCAGCTTTATTTTGCAGACTCGTGAGATAAATACATCTGGGCATAAAAAATTGTCAGGAAGAACTACTCTTGAATCCTATGGCTAGGATCTCTCAAGATCCATTAGGAATCGTGTTGGACAAGAGCTAGGACCAGAGCTCACTGTCCCAAAGCTCAAAGTTCACCATCACTCACCTCATTAGTGCCCATCTGGCTCTATCTTGGCTCTGGCCACATTGTACGTCACTTGCTGTGATGTGGTGAAGCAGCTGCTGTTCACACGGTGGATTTGTTTCTTTATAAAGAAGGGAAACCCCACCATGGTTGGCATCACTCAACTTACCACCTTCCCTGCAATGCTCTTCCTTGTCTCCTGCAGCTGACTGGCTGTCTCATAGATAGCTGCTTTACTCTGTGTAGCTGAACGTGCAGAAGATAGGAATTGCAGTCTCCTCTGAGACCTAAGTGGGCTAGAGGTGGTGTCCTCATCTCTTAGATGTGGTGTGTCCTGGTTTCGGCTGGGATAGGGTTAAATTTCTTGCTAGTGCTGTGTTTTGGATTTAGTATGAGGAGAATGTTGATAACACACTGGGGGAGTGAGTGAGCGGCTGCGTGGTTGGTTAAACCACGACATGGTGGCATTAGCACTGTTTGAAAATATTATTTCTATCAGTTCTTAAATAGGTATACAAATTCAGTACTGGGAGACAGTCTTTCATTTAAAAAAAAAAAGTTAACAAATCATACCAAAGAAATTGAGGTTCGTAGCTCTTCTTTTGCATCAAATTACAAATATTGTTCTCTGAAATTTCATAGTTATATGCTGTTTCAATTGTGGAGGAAGCAATTCAAGAAGTACTCTCTTCATAAGAAAAAAGTGCCAGTGAATGATGCAAATGGCCCGCATTTTTTAGTTTATCTTAATCAGTAAGTGTATTTGACTAGAATTAATCTAATTGTCCCTGAGATTAAATGGTGTCTAAGGAATTTAGAATGAATTTAAGGCTTTCTGTCAGAAAAAGCTGTAGTAGTTAAATGTTTCTATCCTTACTCTGCCTTTTTGCCAGCTTTTGTTCCCTGGAGCATAGGTGGTAAAATGGAGTGTGTCTGTGCTGCATCTGACACAGCTGCTGGTGTTTAATGTGAAATGCTAGCACACCATCATCACTGGTGCAAGTTGAAATGTTAGACTAACCTGGAGCACCTGAGGTTTCTAGCTCTGCTGGGGATGGTATCTGTTGGAAAAGGAAGGGATGTGAGCAATTTCTGTCTTCTGTTGAATCCTCCAAATATTTTTTTCTAATCGTTCCATCTATTCAAACTTCTAATGCTTGCTTACTTAATCCTTCTGATGTCCTTGATTAAAACAGCAACAAAAAGGGTACTACATATTTAATGAGAAATAAAAAAATCACTTGGTTTCTGTTTATAGTCCTGACTATAGACGTAGTGATTTTGTCTGGCATTTCCAAGTAGTCCGTGTGGCAACTGTGTTGGTAGCAATTCTCATTAATTTTGATTTCTTTGAAATCATTAGCCTCTGCCAGTAGAGCTTCTGATGTCCTGTTCTTGAGTATTGATGATCCACTTACAGAAATGGTTATCCTTCCTAGTTCTAGTGGACTGATCTTCAATTTGTTTTTTACTCTGAAGGATTTCAGTGTTGTCTTCCAACAATAAAAATCTCAAAATTATCAGCACATCTGATCAAGTCTCTGTATTATTATGACCGGACTACTTTCAGTATCTTTTAGAGTTCTTTTGTAGACATACCCTAAGAAATGTGAGTGAAAGAGATATTATGGGCTTCATATATATAGTGCAAAATAGGCAAAACTCCAGCAGAATGAATGAAGCTGAATTAGCTGACGGTAGAGTTGAGCACTGACTTTATGCTGAGGTATTCCTGTAGCCTGGGTAATAGGACACTTCTCGTGCATACTCAATTTTGTTGAACTGTCTGATTTTCAGTTTGAAAGGTTGCTTTTTTCATTTTTGGGTAGCTGAAGGTTGCCATGAGATGATCAAGATACTGGCTTATGGTGTGGAGGTACAGACTCTCAGCTGCTGGCTCTACAGTCTTTAGTATATTTTACCCCAGATAATGCCTTCTTTCGGCAGGAAGGAGACCTGTACCAGTGTTTCACATCCCAGTGCAGTGGGATGCCAGGCAGTAAGGAGAGGCGGCTCCTCTTCACTGGATGTGGTGGGAAAAGGGACGAAGAGAGCAGCTGGACAGTACCTCGTGATAAAACTGTCTTGACAAGCTGGTTTTGGTGCCTGGTTTAGTTCCTGTGTGGTTCTAAATTCATGGAGTCTTCAGTGTTGTGTTGATTTCGTACAATCATATTTTAAATGTGTCGAGGAAAGAAAATTAATGGACTTAATTTCCCTTAATGAGTTCTTTTCATTAGATAGTTCTATTAATTAATCTGTTTACTGTAGAAATCTTTTCCTGTGAGGAGTGGTCCCTTGCAGAGCTGGTTTTTTTATTGTCTTTTCCTCTTCCTTTCAGTGAAACTGGTGTTGATGAAGATGAGGACTTGTATGATTGTGTCTATGGAGAAGATGAAGGTGGGGAGGTTTATGAAGACCTGATGAAAGATGAAGCAGCACAGCAACCTGTATGTTTTCCAATTCCTAGCTAGTTTTGAACAATAGCAGATATATTTTTGAAAGTTAATATTTGTGAAATGATTTCTTTATAGCTAGTTTCACTGAAACTTTACTCATGCTCGGTTGCATCTGGAGCTGTCATGTGCAGTGTATTATCTCCTATGTAAGACTTTGCAAGCTGTTTTGGCAAAGGGTCGAATGTTAACTACGGTAATTTTTTGAAAGAAATGTAATTTTTTAATGAGGTATAATTACTTAATTTGTTAAGATTGCTAGTTATGAATGGTAAGATTTACCAGCTATTTTAAGAGCAGTTAAATTAACTGCTTACTTCAAAGTGTCCTACTTCAAAAATTAAGTTGTAATATTGTGAAACGCTGTTGTTTCAGCCATAATTTGGGCAACTAACCTAACAAGGACAACTGATGATTGTTTCATACCAATGAAATTCCTGCTTATTCAACCATGTAGTTTTTTGTTGATCATTAGGTTGGTCTTACTGAGAATGGGACAAGTAGCTTATTCACTTTATCATATAAAGGTACAATGGTCAGTTTTCAAAACTGTCTTGGAAAAAATCTAAACTTAGGCAATAAAATTTACTTACTAATTGGGAGAAACCCTAATGTACTTGTCTGCCCATCCTCAGAGATGTGCTTTCAGATCTGGAAAATGTTAGTTTGTGGCCATGACAGGATATGTTTTTTAGGACAGTTGGTTTCTTCCTCTGTATTGACATGAAGCTATATTATGCTTCCTGTTGTCTGAAGTTGGAAACTTGCTTCTACTTTTCCAAATTGCTTTTTAGTAATATAGTTACATGAAGAAGTCTGAAGATTTTTTTTTTTTAATACCTTGTGTATCTTTTCAGTACAAATACAGGAGATACCTAATGTGATTTGTGTTCTCTGTTTTTATGGTGATTCCCCAAAGTTACCACTATCTTGTCTTTGGGAAGATTACTGCCTTGTTTTAATCTCTATTGTTTTGAGTGTAACAATATTGTTTTCAAGCCTGTTTTTCTATTAATAGAAAATCCTGCAGGTAATGTGTGTAAATTAAGGATGAGATAAGCAGAAGGTTATGTTAGTTTTTCACATTTTGCTTAGTTTTGTTTACCTCCTAAAGTTTAGGTTATTCAGTGAAAACCAAATAAAAAATTGAGTTGAAAAAACACTGTTTTATATCTAATGAAGTCGCATTCACTTGCAGACGGGATGTTTTAGAAAAGTGTTTGAATCATTGGAAATCTTTACTGTGATCTTATTTTGAGTTTTTATTTTATATTGAAACTCAAAATGCGTTAGTTTTTGGTTTCACGTAATGAGTGTCGGTGGCTTTTTTTTTTTTCCCTTCAACCGTAACAGTTGGTAATCTCTGGCAGTTGGTAGTGCGTAAACTATCTCTGATTCTTTCTTTCCTGTTGCAAATGTCTGTCTCGCATATCCGTGTTTCTAGCAAATGATTAATATAGCAATCAGAACTTTCATGTTCTAATTTTAGTTGCATCTTAGCCTAGATACTTCAGATTGAACAGACTTGTATTTGTTTCTTATAGAAAGTAAATGAAAATTGAAAACATGGTACAGCAAAGTATTTTTTCCACAACATGTAATGAATGGAGACATTACAATTGTTGTGCTGTGATAGCTTTCTTTTCCTCTCAGGTTTATAAATACATTGCACGCTAACATGATGATTTTGCACAGTTCTTTCATTTGAATCCTATGTGAGAATCCCTTCCATATAAAAAACACTAGCACAGGACAATCAAGTAGATTTTTAGAAGAACCCAATACTTTTCAGAGTCTCCAATAGCAGCCAAAATTGCTTTGCATTTCCCTCATCCTTGATTTATTATCATGCAAAGTAAACTGTTCCGCTAAATTTTCTCTGGCAGTAGCTGACCTTCAAAGACAATTTTTCTCACTTGTACTGGTGTTTGCACGTTATTTCTTATTTCCTCACTCCTTTTGTTTATTGCACTCAAATTCTAGCCGTTTGTGGTACATATAGAAAATTAATACGTTAATTTCTGCCAAAAGTGCTTGTGTGAATGACCTGTTTTGGTTAGGTGAGCACAAAACTGAAGTGAATTGTTTTAAGCGGAAACCCAGAATTTTGTTTACATTGTCCATATGAGAGTTGGTAAACAACAAAGCCCCACATTTTGCAAATAGATATAAACTCCTATTGGGTACAACAGCTTCTGTATTGGTGCAAATACTGCAAGCAATTTGAACAGTATTGAGCTCACAAAAGTAAAGGTGAAAAATAACTAAAAGCCTGAATAATGTCAAATTCTAATACTTTATTGAGATTGATTAACTACGGTTAACTGTGACAGTGCCTGCTTCCCCCTGCCAAAGAATTTGGGAAAAAATGATAGATTTTGAGATGAGGCTGATCATCAGATGATGCTCACAAAGTACTTTTCTACTGATAATGTATTTTTGCAAAATGGATGGCACTTCAATGTTTGTGGGAAAATTAATAACTGCACCAATTGGGTTTTAAAGAGTAATTTCTGAGATAACGCAGCACCTGGTAGATGAATGAGAAGCCATGTTCCAGTTGCAGGAGCTGCTTGTAGAGTCACATGGAGACAGAGAGAAGGGTGAAAAAGATATGTCAAAACAGCAAACAGAAGTGCGAACAGTGACGGAGCTTTATGTGCCTGTATGATTTGCAACTTGATATCTAGTTTAGGCAATAGGAATACATTTCCCACTCTTCATAGGTGGCCAAGCAATATCATAGGAGCTGTATGTGGCTCATGGACAGTTTAAGTGTGGCTTGCTATTTGCTGTGCTATGCTTAGCAGGTGTATCAGGTAGACTGATAACAGGGAGAGGGAGTGGAAGGAGTCTAGCTCTTGGACATACTAACAGCTAATCATGAAAACTTCAGTCTAGAAGTTCGCTATTCCTGGAGGAGAAAAGTCTTTTGTGCAAAAGCTAAAAGTCTTTTTCTGAATGGAAGGAACTGTAGTACTAAATTTCTAGTCCTGATTCCCCCTGTATTTGAGTAACATCTAGTCATCAGGTCTATTATGTGCAGTATGTGGATTCCCTATACTGGGTGAAAAAAGGTAAGATACAGTCAGGGATATGCTGAAGGATGCCTTGGAAGGATGTTACAAACTGATAAATAGGCTTCAGAAAGGATGTGACAGTACTATTGCATATTAAGCCACTGCTTAACGTTGGCTTTGGAGAAAACATTTTGGATCAATTATTGCTTTTAATTGTAAGGGTCTATCCAGTTACTGTGTCAGGTCTCCAGGCTGACCTGTATGTCTCCAGATGTTTTAAGTCTTGCTTGACACGAATACTTCCATACCTTCTTCCAGGTATTTACTCTTTTATTTGAAATCAGATTTGCAAGTTATTGAAGCTGTAACGCTGTAAATCTGATCTTCAGTAAGAGTGCTTGTAAACTATTTTTAGAGAGTCCTGTGCTGAGAATTACTTCAATTTCCTATGAGTCTGGTGGCTTACGTGGAAAAATCCCAGGGTCTCACTGAAGACATACGCATACGTATGCAAGAGCTGAACTTAGAGGTCACTGCACTTCCTGATTCGTGGACATACGTATACTGTGTCTGAAGAGAAAGCTCCCCTTGGGAACTAAAAGGGAAAAACTGTAAATAAGTGCAGGGATTAGACTGAATCCAATATTTATGGCAATGCAAAGTTACTTATGTGATTTAGTCCTATTAAGTTTAATGGAATTATTAACTGCTAAGTATTTAAAATAAGATTTCTCAGGCAGGATGTAAATTAAATATGACCTTGTACTTCAGCTTCCAAAGTACATGCACAAAGTTCAGCGTTTTATGTCTAAACATTAACTTTTCATAATATTCCTTTGATGCTGAGTTTAGTACAACTCTTAAAGTCATCAGCTAATTGAACATTAAAATATTCTTGGTTATTGCTATCATCTTTGGAGGCTGCAGTACTCAGAAAATTTCAGGAAGCAGTTATCCTAATTGCTTAATTCTAAACAAATAAATACATTTGTTATCCATTAGATGCCTGTTAATGACATAAACTTGACTCCATTGTAATTGCAGAAATATACTGAAAATGACATAAGAAGCTGTTGTCTTGCTGAAATAAAGCAAACTGAAGAGAAATACACTGAAACGCTGGAATCAATAGAGAAAGTAAGATACTACTTATAGAATTGTTACGTACGTGTTTTTGTAACAGTCTAGAAAATATAATGACACAGTCGATGTATATATACATTTTTTTTCCCTTGCAGTTTTTCATGGTGCCATTGAAAAGGTTTCTGTCAGCATCAGAGTTTGATACTGTTTTCATCAACATTCCTGTAAGTAATTGCATATTTACTGAACAGATATAAGGTTCATAGCTGGTTATGATATATTTGTGATGTATGTTACTGCACAAAACGATAATTTGAAATACGGTACACAATGCATTTATGTAGATATTAGGGCAGTTGATGAAAAAGGATGTGCACACTATTTCATTTTTTTTTCTGCTTGAGGGAATAGGATGAGAGAAATAGTATTATCGTGTCAGATATAAACTGGTATCTTTGACCTGTAGAAGCTAATAATTTATAGAAGATGGGTTATCTTCTAATATATGCTGGCATTTTAGTGATGGTACAAAGTTGTGCCTGTTAGGTTGCCTACCACTGTATGCTGAGTGGTGCTTTCATTAGGGTTTCTATAGCTACTCTGCAAATCCTTGTATCTACCTGGCTCTGTCATCATTGAAGACATTTTAAAGTTAAGATAACACACAGTTCTGGATTCAGAACCTGGTGCTGGAAAGGGTAAGGAAATCCTCTGTGAAGTATCTCGGAGATCTCCTTATTTGACTGAAATCTTAAAGGTTTCTATGGTTATTACTTTGTTCCATTTATTTTTGGCCTAATCGTAATAGTATGACAATTTATGTATATTTTACTTGATGTAAGTATTCAGCAGATGTCTTTATCTCTCTTTAAAGGAAGACATCAGACATGGTCTGAAGCCTCTCTCAACACAGACAAATGAAAGGAATGTTCTTTTATGAGGCCCACTGTAAAGAAAGGTTCCCCAGAATGTGGCGCACAGGCCATATCAAACCTTTATTGTCTGTAAAAGATCACCTCTGTTTTGGCCACCTCTGGCATGTCCCGCAAGCTCTCAGGGCTGTAGGAGGAGGTCTTGGGGATTTTTTTATTCTGTGGGAACCTGGTCTGTAAGAATGTTTTAGTTGCTGTTCCAGCACCATCCTGACAGAAGGTAAATTACGACAGTTATTACACTGATGATACCTGACACCTTGCCATATTTGTCCTGCTATTAAAGTTTTCACCCTGAATCTCAATTGCTGTAATTTCCTTCTCTTTGAATATTAGTCCAAAATACTGCCACAGATACCAGTAACCTACTTGTCGTCTTGAAGTATGTCAGCTGCCCATAGAGATCCCTTTGCTTTTGAAAACAAATTTACATTCTGTCCTACATTAATGTTTCTTATTCATTGCAATAAGGCCCTGATGTGCCCTACCTAAGTTACTGTAAACCTCTTTCCTAAGGCTCTGTGCACCCAGACTTATGTGCATTGAAAGACGTAAAGCCAGCTGACGTGGAACACTGCACAGGGGTATAAAAAGGGCTTACACGCTGTAAGCACTAACTGAGAGATCAGCCTACTCGCTACTTGTTAAGAAATTTAAGAGGATCAGATAAAAGGAGTAAAAAGAACAAAACCTGTTTATTTGAAACTAGGAAGACACGTAGTAAACTGTTATTGTTTTACTTTGCTTTTCATTATCAGCATTCAGTATTTTGCTGTTACAAGATGGTGCTTATTTCTGACTCCAGTAACATTTCATAGGGACCCAAAAACATAAAAGAAATATAAGGCTTCCCTAAGTCAAAAATATGTGCAAAAGCTTTGTCTGTTCAGACCTTGTCTCTGCGGCAGTTTTTGAGGGCAGTGGAAGCTTGTTTTAAACCAAAAATAGCTGTTACACAGAGCTGTACAGCAAACTGATGTGGAGAGCAAGTGCAGTGTTATCAGAACACGATGGATTTGCCTCTGTTAAAGGGTTGCGGTGAAGTATCGGTGCTTTAGGGTGATGCTATATTCCTTATACAGACTCTGAAAGATGCTTGCTGGAAAAAATCATCTGCCGATGTCGAAGTATATTTTATTTTTAAGAAAAAACCCCCCACCAACCAACCCAAACTACTCACCAGTCTAAAGAGAGTGCCTTTCATTAGGGTTCAGATTTCAAAGTTCTGTCCTATAAAATGTATGTATGGCTTTATATTTTTGTGTGTATCTGTGTACGTAGATGTCTATGTATATATTATGTACATATATATGCATTTGTACGTACATTTGTCTATGTATATATGTGTGCACACATGTACAGATGCATTTGTATGTACACCTATGCATGCATTTGAATTGAGATGTATATATGGACATACTTTTTTGGGAGTACATGTAACAGAAACTGAAGTTGGAACTTTAATTAACTTCTAATGATGTTAACATCAGTTTAATTTAAAATTTGACTTTGAATTGGAGATGGAAGCTCAAAAAGACATTTTGTCGCCTTAACATTAGGCTGTTTTTTAGTGGTGTTGCTTAGTTAAGTCCTTGTGCACTCCTGAGAAAATACGGTCCTGTAATATATTAATCGGGAAGCGTTTCTATAATAACGTCTTTGTCTGCTGCAACTTAAGATTCTGAGGTTATGGCCATACAATCGCTAGCAATTGAATTTGATCTGTTTTAAGTTTTTGCTCCCTCACCTGTCATGTGATGATTGACCTTGTGTGTACTCTTAGTTTTCATCAGTGTGAAGTGAAATATTTTCACTTAGTTCACAACTCAGTATTGCATATTATTTTTGTAGTATATCGTTTACTGCATCAAACCATCTTCAATGTTTTTTTTTTAAACAGTCTTCTATTTTTCATTGCAGTGGTCTGTACACCGTTTACAGTCAATTATCCTGATTTCAAAACTTTTTAACCTATTTTGACTTAATTTCTTGTGAATTCTCTGACAGTATCCTTACAGTATTAAGGCTGATGTAATCTCCTGTAGTTGCTTACAGATTTTTCTAAAATAATGAACAAGAAAGATGAGTTGCTACTATATTCAGAGAGCAAATCTTTCTGCAATATTCTTGCCATTCTCTCAGCCATTAGTTGCCTGCTGTATTGGCAAACTCATTATGATTGCAGTTAACTTAGCACTAGAACATCACTAATTGACCAATGTAATGTACAAAACTAATTTTTCACAGCTCAGGGACATGAATCATTACTTTATCTTGTCACTAAAGCATTTACTTGACTTGCTTAATTTTAAAATTATCATTATAAAATGAAGATGAATTAACAGTGCACGTTCCAAGCTAGAATAAATTAGTCTCTAATAGGTAGTTCTTGGAGTTTAGTTTTTCTTGTCGCACTATACGGAAGAGGTGGCAAACCTTAAAATTAGGTTCTACTCTCAAGTGATCTGTTTTCCAATTTATTGAAATTAATGGATCTAACATGAAATAGTTTATTTTTATATTCACAGCTTTAACTCATTCTGTTTTTAAAAACCTTTCCCCTTCTTCATTACTGTTTTTAAGGATCTGGTGAAAATTCACAGGAATCTAACACAGGACATCAATGATTCCATTGTTAACAAAAATGATCAGAACCTATATCAAATTTTTATTAACTACAAGGAAAGGTAAGATTTATGCACTCTTACTAATAATCTATGCTCAATTTGGTACTGTATTTTACCATATTTTTGTTTGATGAATGTCTCTGAAATAGGATTGAATTCAGTGTCAGTATACTTATTAAGCTAGTATTTGGTGTTTTGAGCCTGGAAGTCAAAATGTAACCTATTGCTATATGAGCCCTCCCTCTTCTTACCCCCATTTTTTTGGCAATATTGTTACAGGTAGCATTTTGAACAAAACTTAAATAACTTATTTTGCACAGCATTTTTTTTCCATGCAAATAATCCCAGGTATTTTATATCATGTACTTGTATTGTTTAACAGATAAAGTGTTATAAAAGGGGAAGAAGGGGCAAAATAAGGCAAGGATATATATTAAGGCTATTCCAGGTTAAAGAAAACAGAAGAGGTCATAACTTGAAAGAAGAGAAAGCAGGTGCAAAAGGGAAGAGAGAAGAGACTAGGATCTCACCCTACCCTGCAGTCAAAGGTGTGACAGCAAAGCAAACACGCTCTACCTTCAAACTGTGAAAAACAGCCAAGCTGATAACAGGATAGCTGTGGCAGCATGCTATGCCCTGTAGGCTAATTGCCAATTTTTTTACCCACCTTTTCAGATTGTTTTTTCTGCCAGCACTGAACAGCTGTTGGACTGTATAGATGAACTTATATGCCTGTGGTACTTAGCTGAAAAACACTTGTACTGTGGGTTACATGCTGACCTACCTTAAAGTAACCCTTGGGTTGTGGTTAAAAATTAGTTCCTCCTGGGACCGGAGTGGGAAAGACCTGTGGGAGCTAATTGGATTTGCTTGAGGGTGATGGGGAAGGAGAATTGTTGCAGTAGTAACAGGCTTGTGAGAAATTGGACAGCAGCATCTGGAAAATGTTAGACAGGAGAGTTGTTTTCTGAGGGAAGAGGGTGTCCCAGGCTGCCCATAAACAGTCTTGCCTTCAGAGACCTCTGTCTCAGCTTTTATGTTGGAGCAGGACAGTTATTTCCCAGGTTGTTAGAATTTCTGCTGCTGTAGGAGGGAATTAGGGGACAAGAAGTTGTTCTGGAAAATGCTTACCTTTCAAAAATAGTTCTGAAAGGTGTGCTAAAAGGGAACAACAAAGACACTGAGAAGAAACCTCAAGTTTATATTACAAAAAAAGGAAACAGATGGAGGTAGACTCAGTGTATGATTAAAAGTAATCAGAAGTGGTAAGTGTTAAATCAGTATCACTTTAATTGTGAAAAAAGAATTAAAAAAAAAAAGAATGGTAAAGATTAGGCAAGAGAAAAAGAAACGTAGGAGACCTCAATGGAAAGCTCATGGGAACCCCCAAAAAAGGGGACTTGAAGCATACAGAAGGAATCACCTCCAGAAATACATGAAAAGGTGAAAGGAAACAGCACTTTTTGCAATGGGACTAGCAGAAAGAAGCACTCCAAACACGGTCAAGAAACTCCTGTCATAAAACCAGGCTCCTTCAAGAAGCATTGCTGCCCTTGACAACTACTGAAAACTTCTTCAGTTTTCATACACTATTACTTTGATCTGAGAGCTCACAGAATATAACCTGGTAGAAAGTGTTGAAGCTGGATCAGTTTGGGTAACCTACAAGTTCTTTAAAGGATAGCTGTAATTAATCCTGTTAAGCTTGTGTTACAGAACTTAGTCATTACAACCTTGGAATTGTAAATACTACTGACCGTTGTTCTGTTAAACAGCAGTTACGCTGCTTTTTAATGAGTCCTATATTTATCAGAACATATACATGTGAATATTAAAGGAAATTGCAATGATTATACAGCACTTTGAAGGTAGATCAAAATTGTATTCTCCTGAATATTCTTCTTTGAGTTCATGCTGCCTATTGAAGTCTGTGGCTAAATCCTATCCTTCCTTATTTAGGCACTGCTCCTTTTGAAAGGAGGATTGTTAACAATATATTTGTGAAGAATGATCAAGGATTTTTCTTAAATAAGCAAATGTTCCTTTTATTCTTTATCTCTTGCTTTGATTTAGATTGGTTATTTATGGACAGTACTGCAGTCAAGTGGAGATAGCGATATCATGCTTAGACAACATCTCTAAGACAAAAGAAGATGTTAAATTGAAGTTAGAGGTATCGGTATTTTTTAACATGTATATATATAAAAACCACGTTTCTATGAATATGCCCTGCTTTCATCCAATTCAGAAATTTTATGATGAAAAACTAGCTGGATTGATACCTGAATGCGTTTCTCTTCCTTTTCATTTTTTTGGAGCCTCTGGTCAAATGAATATGTGAGCTGTTGGCGGTACATATCCTGGCACTGAAGTGAATGCAGTTTTGTTACTGATATCAGTAGGGTTAGAGTTTTTTCCGGGAAGTCATCATCAACGGTACCCTTCTGTTTATTGTGACATCTCAGCCAAGAACACAGAATTGCAGAATCACTCAGGTTGGGAGGGACCTCTAGGCTGAACAAGCCCTGGTCCCACAGCCTCATATGGCTTGCTGGTTCCTTTCCAGCAGAGCTGCTCCCTAGCTGGTCTGCCCTCAGTGTTAGTGTGTCCCTGGTTAGTGCATACCAGGTGAAGGACTTTGCCTTCGTCCTTGTTGCCTTCATGTGAGGTTCCTGTTGGACATGCCCTGAAGAGTGTCACCTGCACCTCCAATCTGGTGTTGTCTGCAGACTTGCTGTGGGTGTCCTCTGTCTTTTCCTGCAGATCACTGCTAAAGATATTAAATGGGAGGAGTCCCTGGACAGACCCCTGAGGAGCTCTACTTGCAACTGTCCCTCGGGTAGTGTAGGAAACATTAGTCACTGCTCTTTTTGAGCCTCATGATCTAGCCAGTTTTTTCATCACCTAGTAGTTCATTCATCTGGAGCATAACATCCCAATCTGGATATCAGGATGCTGTGGGAGATGGTGTTGAAAGCCTTGGAAAAGTCTGGGTAGACTCTCCCCACCCATTCACAGATCTAGCCAGTTCATTGGGGAAAGCAGTCAAGTAGGTCAAGCATTGATTTACTTGTGGTAAATCCATGCTGGATATTCCCAGTCACCTTCTTCATGTGCCCAGAAATTGCTTCCAAGAGGACTTGCTCCATAATTTTTGCGGGGGCTGAAGTGAGAGTGACTGGCTGGTAGTTTCCAAGATTACCTTTTCCTTTTTTTTGAAGATAGGTGTAATATTTGCTGCCTTCGCTTTTTTTTTAACTTCAATAGAATGCCTAATTTCTGTTGTCTCTGTGATGTTTATTCTACTCTTTCTCATGCTGTTGAAATATTTAAGAACAAGTGTCTAGACCTAGTCTTTTTTTGCTTAGCTATTATTGCCGTATCAGCTGTTTTCCTTCGTTTTGTTGATATTCTTTATCTCAAGCTTAATATAGTTGCCTGGCCCGTATATCACTGAATTTTCATATATATCACTTGAACATTTTTATTTTCTAACTCTCTTGACTTATTCTTTCTTCTGCTTTGAACTAGGAGTGTTCCAAGAGGGCCAATAATGGGAAATTTACATTGCGGGATCTTTTAGTGGTTCCAATGCAGAGGGTGCTAAAATATCACCTATTGCTCCAGGTATTTTATTTTTGAAGTTTAAGGGGGCTGAGAGCAAAACTGTGATTGTTTATCATCAGTGGATTGTAAGAATGAGAGCTAAAAGTCTTTATCCAGGGGAGGTGATTGACATTTCCATAGATTTGAGGCTGATTTGTTACAAAATGAAATCCAGTCAAGTGCAGGTTTTCTTACAGAGATCATTCCTCAGAGCTGAAGCATATCAGGGGAAAAAAGAATAAAACACAATTGTTTCCTCAGCATCTGCACCTTTCATTCTTGGTATGTTTAAAATGTTTAGTAGCACCAAACTATAATCATGGTACTTTGAAATGTGAACCATTACCCCCCAAAAGAGGAAGCTGGACCATACTTACAGCATACTTTTAAGATGTTTCATTGCTGTCATAAATTACAATAAAGCCATATTTATTTTGAAATGCTTCTTGTTATAACCCACAAAGCGTTAGGTTTTGCAGTTAGTCCTGTAATAAGGGTGGAGAGTCTTATAAATTTAATTTGATAGCTGTGCCAGGAGACTCATTAGTTCAGCTGCAAAGAAATATATTACTATATTAGACTGTCAACCCTGCTGATGCTTGTAAAATGTCATTTTAAAAAGATCTACTACTTGTATGTGAAGCATAATTTTGACTCTGCAGAGCAACATTCTGTGATACTAAATTTTCTGAAATATTTCTATGAATCATCAATATTTTGATCAATGGAAAATTGGAAAAACCAAAATGAATGGTACAACTGCTTTTTAAAAAAACTTATGAGATCTGAGTCATGATTTTATAATCAACCTGTATATTATGAAAAGATGATAGCCAGTATGTCACTGTGCTTTAATGTGTGACACTATAGTATGCATTGTACAAGAAAGAAATTATAGACTTTGAAAGAAAAAAATCCAGTAAATTGTTGGAATTGTAATGTGAAGTATAAATACTTATTTCCTAGGATTTTAGCAAGTTGTTATGTTAGCTGAGATGTATAATTCTTTTCAAATTATAAAGAAGAAATAACCTGTTTTCCCAAGAGGTTACTTTTTCACTTCATAAAAACCAAAAAAGCCCCTTTATTTTCCATATGGGAAGTGGCTAAAAAAATTCTTTAAACATTTACATTTGATTTAAATGAAATGTTTTCTGAGTCAGCTTTATCTTAGGCGTAATGAGACAGTGACTTCTTTTAAGCAGTTGCACAGTTTAGCTGAGATTTTATTGCCAGCATACATCCCTCTCTGCAGACAAGTGCATGCTTTGGAATGGGATGATATACCGTATAGTAATGTGCAAAGTGTTTGCCTGTGCTTTCAGCATGCACATACAGTAATGATCTGATTGGCAAGTTTTAAGTGCTAGACAGACGAAATTAGCTTCTAATGATGGTTCATTATCAGCTAAAGTCAGCGTTTAGGCTATATAGCAATCATTCCTAAACACTTGCCAATTACCTGTTTGCAGTAGTCCCCACTTGGTTATAGGCTGCTCACTATGGGGATGAAAATGTGAATTCTCAGGTTGTGTTTTCCGGTTTTGGCTTTTTTCTTTTTTTTGGGGAGGGTGGGGATGAGCAATGACAACTTCAATTTATAAACTGACAGGCAGTGGGTGAAAAGTTTTAACTGCTCTGTCCACAGGAGCTGGTAAAGCACACTACTGACCCCATGGAGAAGGCAAATCTAAAACTGGCACTTGATGCAATGAAGGTAAGTATTCATTGCAATGAAGTACTTATGTCTTTGTTGGCAGTTAAAATGGTAGCTCAGATCTATGTTTCCTGAAGGATATGATGTTCTTCACAGCAGGTCAAACATGTTTTCACAGGTCACTGTGAGCTTTATGAGTATGTCAGTGCAAGTATATAGTTGAAGGCTTTGCTCAAGTCTGGGGAACAAGTTCAGTGGTTTTCTGAAGTGGAGGGTTTATGAAATGGAACTTCCTTATTTCAGTTTACTTCTACATCAATTTGCTGTCATACAATGAGATGAAAAACAGGTATTTCAATAATGTTGGTCTCACTTCCAAACTTTAGGAATATTTCTGTCACTGTAAGTCAATTCTAATGAAGGTTGATAGTTTCCCAGTGAGATGAAGACCATTATCTTTACAAGACTTCTTTTCTGTCATCTTAATATTATCTCTGTGGCTTTACCATTGAAAGCAGTCTTTCCGGAGGTAGAGTATCTGTCACTGTACATTCACCTGCAAGTGGTACAAACAAATGCTTTATCGAATAGCCTTATATAAGGTAATATATTATGCGTTCCTCTGCACAGCTTCAGAAATGAATCATAGTTCTGCTTTAGTTGGCTTCATGGCATGAATTGTGACATTCATGTGCTGGAATTGTTAATTTTTTTCTATCCTTTGTGGGGAAAGGGGGAAAGAAGCCAACACGGCATAGGTCATATCTCCTTCTGTTGTCGTCTGTATGGTCCACGGAAGATGCTGAAGTCAGACTAAGTTAGTTTTGGGTCACAATGCTGCCTCATATTATGTGACTGTCTGCTTTGAATGCCTGCAATACAGACCAGCTCACAAATAAGATTTTGTCATGCGTTTTTGTGCAGTGAATGCAGAGAGAGCCACCATGATAATCTCCCACGGAGATATGCCTGAAGTGGGATGGCACAGTGTTGCTTCCATGTAGTGGCAAGCCATGCAGCCTGGCTGCTGCAAATTGGCTAGGAAAATAACCCTGGAATTTACTCTCCCCACCCCGCTTTTTCTTTCCCATTTGCTGGCTTGCTTCATTGTTTTTGGTGGCGGTTGGACAGCAAATAAAAGACCAATTAAGAAATCTCTTGCCAGAGTGGCTGTGGCAGTTATGTGCTGGCTGGCAGGACATAACCAGCCAATTAACCCCACCCCCCAAAAAAAACCCCAAAACCCAACTCAGGTATGAGCATATCTCCTTAAAGTTGCAGCATTGTTTCCTTCCCAATTTACTGTATCCTCTTACAATAGTCCCTGCCAGTGTAGTAGAAGTAACTGTGCAGCATCGGTATGCAGCATCTAAAAACCCTGATGTGTCTGCTCGAAAACAAAATGTCTTTGGAAAAACTGCCAGCAAAGTGGCACTGCCCCCAAGAAAGAAAATTCTAGGAAGGATTATGCTGTCAGATTTCTCTGAGCAGCAAGAAAAGAGGTTATTTAATTTCTACACTAACCCTTTTAAGACTGATGTAAATGTATCCTGCACAGATTCATTTGGGAAGCTAGCATAATGATTGTAGCTATTCTTAGACTCTGATTAAAAACATCTTAGGAAGAAGATGTATCTTTATCCCACCCTCCAAATTTGTGACCATATTGAAGGGATACTGTAAAAGCAAGTTGTGAAGATCCGAATGCCTCTTCCAAATGCTGCTCTCAGCGTCCCTGACCTTAAATTACCACTCCTGCTCACTCCTATCTCTAGCCATAAACAGAGAAGCCCCAGCAAATAGTCACTATTACTCAAGCATGTTCAGAGCATTTTAAAGGCTTTAGTGAAATGTGTAGAGTACCTGTTCTGGTAAAGGGGACAATGATGATCTCAACTTGCAACTTCAGGTAGTATATCCCATTAAAAGCCCCTTTAAAAATCTGCTGTGTAATGGCTTCTCTCTGGCTGTGCAACAGTAAAAGCAAGATCCTGCTACTGGGGCAGTAGCTTCTTTTCTCCTAATAAGCACCCAGGCTTATGATACATTGACACCTTACATGCTGCTTTTGAGCTGCCTTACATATATTTTCTACTATATGCTCTACTTACCTTCTGTCTTATTCTCAGATATTGGATGTTGTCGACTGCTTTTTTGGACCATAAGTGTGCTGCATAAATTACATTTCCATCTTTAATCTTGAAAATAAGACATAAACAAAATTCAGAAAAAATCAGCCCTTTTTTACAATTTATTACGTTTCCCTCTTTCTTGCTACTAAATTTGTGTTTCAATAGACATGATGAAGAGAGTTGTAAATATGATTGAAGATATGCAGAGGCTTTTTTCCTTCTTTATTTAGGCATACATATTGGTAATTTTTGAACATTAAAGATAGGTGTTTTTTTTTTAAATGACTAAATATGCAGATAAGTCAGACAAAATTAGAAATAAATTTGCCAAAATAATGTAATAAAGTGGTCTGTTATGGAAAAGTATTTTTTTTTCCTCCCTTTTTCTGTTGATGCTCTAGGACTTGGCTCAATATGTAAATGAAGTGAAGAGAGATAATGAAACGCTCCGTGAAATTAGACAGTTTCAACTATCAATAGAGAATTTGGTATGTGATATTTTTCATTTATACAGTTTTTAAATCACTTTTGATCAAATATATTGATAGATATATTTTTTCCCTATTTCATATGAGATTATAGTACTCTTGGTGATATTTAAGTATACGTATGCTTTGCTTGATCTAGAATGACACAAATATTTAAGTACAGAAATCTCTGCTATTTTGGGCATCTCTGTAGTTAAATATATTTGCATAGTTAAAGGTTTGTATTTGTACAGTGACTCAGGTGTTTTTGTAATGGGAAAAATTTTCCCATTTGAAGACAAAAATGGAATGGACCGATTCTTTATTGTATTTATTTTAGATGATAGTGAGGAAAAAAGATGTTGTTTTCAGGCCTGGTAAGTCCTTTTCTGGAGTAAAAGGAGTAAGTGGTCTAACATCTAAATGTGTCACCATCTTGACACTTTTGCTATATTGAATCTTACGTATTACTTCTGTTTCAGAATCATTCCCTCTTACAGTATGGAAGACCTCAAGGTGATGGGGAAATAAGGATAACTACGTTAGACAAACGTGCGAGGCAAGACAGGTGATGGCATGACTTCTGATGCTTGCTATTAAAAAGCCTGTAACGTAACTCTCTTTTTAGATTTGAGGTCAGCTCAGTGATTCTTGAGAGTACTTTCCATTTCACTGTGCATTCACAGAGCCTATCCACTGTTTACCAATTGCATTTGCAAAGCGATTTGTGGGAAGTTAGCTATTAAGTTATCATCTAAGATCACCTAAGTCCGTTGCAAATAGCAAGTCTCTAGCAAAAGTATTTTCAGTGTTTTTTGTTTCGTTATTCAGTAGTTTAGTTGTTCACCTTCAAAATTTAAGTGCCACAGGCACAGGTGTGTAAAATAAGACTTTGGTTTTCTGGAGTGTTTTTAACCATCTTTATATTGTATTTTCATAGGCATATCTTCTTGTTTGATCTAGCTGTAATTGTTTGTAAACGGAGAGGTGATAATTATGAAATGAAGGAAATAATAGATCTTCAGAAATACAAAATTACAAATAACCCCACTACTGATAAAGAAAATAAGAAGGTAAATATTTGTGGCTAATTCATACAAAATGTATACTGTTAGCAGCAACCTGAAGCATTTTGCAGGAGTTCAGAATGCATATACAATTGATTTACAAAGTTTTATGTTTTAAATGTAAGCTGAAGTGAATATTTAGGAATTTCAACTTTGTTTATTTTGATGTAATTAAAATGTTTGAGTAAGTCATTCCAAAGTGAACACAATAATGTGGTCTTGCTGTTCCCAAAATCAGGGAATTAAGGAACATACACATGCTTCTTTATTTTTTCTTTTTTTTTTTTTTTTTCCTTTCTTCATAACTGATGACCTTTGTATTGCCAATCTTTTTATGCAGTGGTCTTATGGCTTCTACCTCATTCATATCCAAGGTCAAAATGGTTTAGAAGTTTATTGCAAAACTAAAGACTTGAAGAAAAAATGGCTTGAACAATTTCAGATGGCTCTGTAAGTATATTTTTATTAAGGTAGAATCACGTTCATCACAAGTGTAAGGATACACTTAAATTATGCTAAACTGATTTCATGTTTAGATTTTTTTTAATACAGCCTAGTTATCTGTTTTATTTGACTTTCTGAGAAACAACTGACTGACATCTTCATGAACAGAGTATTTCCCTGAAACTCCTCTTGGAAAAGAAAGAGGGCACTCTAGGCTATGTATTACTTTTCAACTTTGCTGCTAAGACTGTTTTAGTAATACTGTCTTAAGCAACCAGGGGGAAATATTAATTATTTTAGCAATAAATATCTAACATAATAGTGACATTTTTTCCCCTCCCATTTTTATTTTGATTAATTGAAATACATTTTTTGAAAGGTGGTGCTGATGATTTGAGAGGGGATCCTGGCATCTTTCCTAGTGGTTTTAACTAATTTATTGTTTAATATTTGGATCAAGTTGCTTGGCTTAATAAATTTAGTTTCAAAAGGCTGATTTCCTTTATATGTTTTCAGCTAAAAGAGGAGGTTGCTTTAGACTTCTTGAAAAGTAAGTTGTTCAGATGCAGCACTGCAGATTGTTACGCAGCTTGAGCTTTATTTCCATTTCTGATTCTTGTCAGAAAGACAAACATGATTATTGACACCTCAGGTATTCTGATTAAATTTAAAACATGTGAACAAGGGAATCGGATGACAGGTTGATGCTTGCTTTATGGTTTAAAAAAAAAAAGTGTGAGGAGGAGTGAGATACTCCCAGTGAAAATAGAGAGATAGCATTAATATAGATTGTTTTGGATGTGATTGTAAAGGTATGTGTTTTCAGAAAGAAGCTCTTACGAGCTTATGAGTGAAACTGACTCATAAACTATATATATATTTTTTAAAACCTTAGTCTAATAAGTGCTAATGATTTAAATGAAGACATAAGGGAGGAGAGCCTGGGCTGGACATGAAGCCTGTTTACTAGGGTTCCCATCTTGCTGATTTTTACTGAAGGCAAAAATGGCATGTGTTTTGGCAAAAATTTCTGGGTAGCGTAGTGGGAGACGGGAAGAGGTGTTTATTTGTATGTGTGCGGAAAGCTGAGTACTTTGCCTCTTTCTGTCCCTGTGCTCTCCCTGCTGCACTTCCTGTAATGTCATTACTGATATTTACCTAAACATAGATAAAACATGTATGAAAAGCATGAGATTATCAGCTTTAGCATTGCAAAAAACCAACCAGAGTCATCCAAGGAGCTAAGGAGAGCAGTAAGAGAGCTATGTTTTTTTTCCCAGAACTGTATCCTTAGTTCTTCCCAAACATTTTTATGGTTCCGTGCAGGACCCCCCGCCAATGGCCGTGTGTGTGGTGAGTGAGTGCAGCTGCATACCCTTACACAGTATCAGGCACCAGCCAGTGCTCACGAGCTGTTCACTAGCATGCCTTTGCAATCAATGGTTTACTGCTGCCGGTTGCCCTACGTGAGCAGAACGAACGGGACCTGAAGAGTTGACAGGTTAATGTGCTACTTTTTCCTCTTGGGCAGATGGAGTTGGTGGTTGGAAACGAGAGTGGTGGTGTCACCCTTGTCTTGCACAGATGTTTGTCTTTCTCATAAACCCATACCTCTAGTTTAACCTCTTCCTGTGTGATTAAAGGCCGTAAGGCAGAGGCATGGGAACTGGAGCAGCAGGGTTGCTGCAGGTCAGGGCTGAGGTGCAATATGATATAGTGGCATTATTTGCATTGGGCAATGCTTTTGCTCCCTTATATTTATAACCACTAGGATTGAAAACAATGGGGAGCTTTTATGCTTTCTGAAGTTTTTGTATCTTTCTCCCAATTCCGTTACATGGGTTTGACTTAATAGCATATTTCCCTCAGCAGCTCTCCCAAAACATACCTTGGTGTATGTAGTGGTAATTATATTCTAATGCATGCTGAGGCATAAGAGTTTGTATTTGGGAATAAACTAAGCCAAGTGTTTTGAACAATTGGTTGGTTGGTTTGATTTGTCGTTTTCAGGGGTCTCAGTGCCTACTGTGTAGTTTATCTGTTCTAGTGTGATTCTACTCTGAAAAGTATCTGTGATTGAAATTATGCTATTATTTATCATACTCAATTATAATTGCTGCTTCTATGGGCAAAATACTTCTCATTACTTAAAAATTTTACTGAGACTGCAAAAACAGCACAGTTGAAGGGCTGAATTACATTCTTTTTTGATTATCAGAAATGTTGTTTACTAAGTTCCAGACAGAAATTTCAATGCAGTTTTGTTGCCTTCAGGATAGCATTCTGTATGAAGTCAGGTCTGTGCAAGTGTTAATCTAAGAACATAACAAGAGAACAAATTAGGATCTCTCTTATTATTTTTAAATTAAGAATTAACCTTGTTGCCACTAGAACAGTTTTATTGGCATAACTATGTTAGCTAGGCTGTAATTTTTTATTTTTATTTTTTAGGAGTTTAGATGTTTATACCAGTGTATGAACAACAGTGATTATAGTTATATTGCTGAAAAGGCACCTACTGTTGAGATGCTGATGTCATTGAGATGAGAATTTGTCTCCAGATACGGGAAGCTTATGTTATTGGTGAAGTATGAAACAGAGGAGAGTACTGCTTTGCTGGCTGGACTTAGTTTAGGTTTGGAGGGCAGGAATATATTAGGCACACTTGATACGGAAAATCTTTAAAGAAAGGAAGGATGAAATCCCAGCGCAATTTCCAGAGTGTTACTTTTCAGACTAGTAAGTTTCTGTTAGAAACTAGTTTCTCAAACCTGTGAAAATACTCTACCGCTTGGCCAGCTCTGTTGTTACTGTGGTATATAGCGAGTTGTTTTGTCATGAGGGAGGTTGGGAACGACGGGTTCCTGGTCATAAGAAACTGAGTAAATTGTTTTTATTCATATGGCAGTTCTGTTGCTACAGTATGTATTTGCTGTTTTCCTGAGACTATTGCTTTATTTAGAAAATATATAATACCAAAACACCTCAATTTTTACTTCTCCTAAGAATTTCATGAGGGTTATTGATGAAACCTGTTCATATACTACATCCTCAGCAGCAATGATACAGTGGCACGGCTGCACTGAATTCGATGCTATTGACCTATTCACAGTAATCTCCACAATTGAGGCTGGGTCACCTCCTCTCCTCCCCGCCCCTCCCCCTCC